AATCAAAATAATTCATCCAAAGGGAAGTCTTTGGAAGTCTCTAGAGCTTTGGATGCTCCATTGTTGAATACAAATCAATCTTACGGAATTTGGCTACACAGTCATGGGCGTACAGGGAGTACAGTAGGGGGCTGAGAACGCATCCTTGTGGGACGCCAGTGTTGAGGATTTTTGTGGAGGAGGTGCTGTCGTCAATCTTCACTGATTGTGGTCTGTGAGTCCGGAAGTTGAGGATCCAGTTGTAGAGGGTGAAGCCAAGACCTAAGTCGTGAAGTTTAGAGATTAGTCTGGTAGGGATTATGGTGTTGAAGGCAGAGCTATAGTCGATGAGTAAGAGCCTGACATAAGTTTCCTTGTTATCCAGATGTTCCACGGATGAGTGTGGGGCTAGGAAAATAGCATCCGCTGTGGACCTGTTTCTCTCTTCTTCTCATTTCTTCTCACATCCATCCTCAATGATTGGCCCTTTATCCAAAGACAGTGCCCCTAAAGTTCCTAGTTTCCCCACCGAGCAGGAGCAATCTCTCACTGTCTAACCTACCAGGCCCCTTCGAAATTTTGTACAATTAGATTGTGTTTCAAACTTCTAAACAATGGCGAATATACAGAATTTGCTCAGACTTTCTTCGTGGATCAGTTCTCATAATATTTAAGATGGAATTAGATCTGCACCTGCAATGCCATGACATACTAGGCTCTGGACCATGGGCTAGAAAATAGAATTAATTAGGTGGTTGTTATTGAAAAGCATGGACACAATGGGCCTTTTTCTATACCGTAGACCTCTATGACTCTATGACTCTAACTCTGTCATCCCAGGGCCAACTTGGTGAACCATTGTCTTAATAAGTTTAACTGTTTCAGAAATGTGGAATATTAAACTGCATATAATACTCCAAATATGATCTCACCAAAACCTGTGTATTTGTAATAAGACTTCTTTATTCCTATACTCCAATCCTCTTACCATAAAAGACAAACATACCATTTAACTTTCGTCTGTACCTGCAGGCACAAAGCCATTCTAAAGTTCCACACATGGCAATGTGAATTGTGGCATTGACTTCCAGTCTAGAAATCACTGCTGCACATGGGCCTCAGAGGCCCACACAATAGAGGGCACACTGCCTGCTCATTCCCCTTCAAGCCATTCACCAGCTTCACAGGGAAATATACTGCTGTTCCTTCAGTGTCATTGGGTCAAAGAATTCCCTCCCTAACAGCACTGTGGATGTTGTTCTACCAACAGCAAAGGGACTGCAACAATAAAAGAAGGCACCTCACTACCATCTTCTCAAGGTCAACTAGAGATGGGCATTAAATGCTGGCTCAACCAGTCATATGCACATCCCATGAATGAATAAAAACCAACATTCCTCTATCAGTGTTCATACATTATCCCTAACTTCATGAAACTTTATCATGCCAACTAACCACTCATTCATTACAACCTCAAAAAACTCAAATAAATAATAACTAATCAGAATTTTCCCTTCATAAAACCATTTTGATTTTCTAAGCGCATCGTTGAAACTTCTTTGATGATAGGTTCCAGTATTGCTGTTCGGCTAACTGGCTATAATTTCCTATTTTCTTTCTTGAAAAGTGTTACTTCGAATGGGATGAGTCAAAACTCCAGTGTTCAGATTAGTAGGTCAATACACAATTTTATTTTGTCTAATGTCAACATGAAACTTAAAGAAATAAATTTAAAATCCTTACTTGGTGACGCCTCTAATAAAGGTGCTGATCTCCATGGAATGGTTGTGGTTCCAAAGGCAAAGGAAGGAGTGTTAGGTGACTGTAAAATCTAAACAAAGTGCAAAAAGTACAAAAGAATATTGAACCTCATTTCTGAAAATTAAAACACTTCTAAATCTAAAAAACTGTCATCCTATGATCAATAACTTATATAGAAAAAAATTAATATCGTACATTTGATTCTTGTTAGATTCCTCACTCACTGTTATTGTGTATTACATACCCCAGTCAACAGGTTTGAGTATGGGACAGTGAATGGGAGACTTATTAGATCCAGCAGGCAGCCTGCTTACAATCTACCTATCTGCTCCTGCTGTCACCACCTTTACACGAGCAGTGGGGATGGTGTTGGGCAGCCCACCCGACAGTGCATAAATTGAGGCCCTTTTAGGGCAATGACTATCCGCCACTGCTGGAATTTAACCTTCACTGGGTGAAAGCTATGTACAGTGACCAGCCTGACTGTTTTCCCCATATGTGCTGGTAGCAGCCTGGAAGTCGGGGCCTCCTTAATGAGCCTGCTCTGCATCACCTCACATTTCTCTACATTAAAAGTCATTTGCAATTTACATGCCCCATCCTGTATGTTTAATAACATGTTCCTGTATTTTGTTGCACAACTATACTGTTAATTGTACACACCAATATGATGTCATTTGCAAATTGTTAAGTTGTCTTTTTTTGATTCCCAAATCGAGACCATTAAAGTATTTGGTAAAAAGCAGTTATTCCAGTCCCAACACTGCTTCCCACCTTCCACCAATCAGAAGCCTTAACGCTCCAAATCATATGTTGTCTGTTTCGTAACCATCTCGCTATCCTTCTGCATAGTGGACTGGGTGACTGCTTCGCAGAACACCTATGCTCTGCCTGCAAAAAAAAGACCTTGAGCTTCTAGTTGGCCACCACTTCAACACACCACCTTGTTCCCAACATCTCTGTCTCAGGCTTGGTACAGTGCTCCAGTGAAGCTCAGCATAAGCTGAAGACCAGCACCTCATTTTCCACTCGGGAACTCTATAGCCTTCTGGACTCAATATCAAGTTCAACAGTTTTAGGGCTTGAGGCATCTTCTCCCATGTCCTTACTCAAAACTCTACACAACAGGCCTTGTTATCACGTGGACTGCTTTTTGCCTTACTACCCATTGTTAGCCACTAATAGTCCCCATTAGCAGCTATTCGTTCTTTCAGGATGAACTTTAGCCAGTTCTTTGTCTGTCTTTTCTTGGGCTCTATCTCCACTTCTCATTTATTCCTTACCTCCTCCGCTCACCCTATCTTCTGTATAAAAAACAGCTTTTTTCTTGCTACCATCAATTCTGAGGAAGAGTCACTGGACCCAAAACATTAACTCTGATTTCTCTCCATAGATGCTGCCAGACCTGCTAAAGTTTTCCAACAATTTTGGCTTTTGTTTCAGCTATTCTTCCTGCTGCTTGTCCCTGACACTGCATGGATATGACCTTTATCATGTGTCAATTTGAAAATCCAAATATATTGTAAGTGATCAGATACCCTTATTTACACTTGCCATTACTTCTTCATATAATCCAAAATTGTAAAAAAAACTTACCTATACTTCTAAAATCTTTGCTGACTAACCTTTACTATATTTTTGTTTTCTAGGTTTTCTTGTTGTTGATACAATTTAAGTAAAAAGTTGCATTCTTTCCCATCACAAATATTAATTTAACTGAACTATAATTTTTCAGCACTCCATTCACTTTGAAACTTGGGAATACATTTGCTAACTCATGCTTAATCTTCGTAAATGTTAACTGCCTTTCATCTTAAAACATTTGGGACTTAATTTTCCTGGCACCTCTACTTGTGTACTGGACAAATATTAATGGCACCTTTACCTGGATACTGGACAGATACAGAACAATGTATGGGCTTCAGAGTGCCAAGACTTGTGCAGTTACTATGAGGTGGAAGAATTGAGAATGTATTCTTTCACCTCATTTTTATGGCTGTCTGGACTCTGAACCCATTGCAGTTCATAGAGTCATTGAGTCAAACAGCACAAAAACAGACCCTTCAGTCTAACTAGTCCATGCCGACCATGTTCTCAAACTAAATTAGTTCCACTTGTCTGTGTTTGGCCTATATCCCTCCAAACCTGACCTATTCATGTACTTACCCACATGTCGTTTAAATGTTGCAACTGTACCTCCTCTTGCAGTTCACTCCACACACGAACTACTCTGTGTAAAAAAATTGCCCTTCATGACCTTCTTTAATCTTTCTCCTCTCACCTTGAAAATATGCTCCCTAGTTTCGAATTCCCCCAACCCTAGGGATAAAACCCTTGCTGTTCACCTTATCTATGCTCCTCATGATTTTATAAACCTCTGCATGGTCACCCCTCAACCTCCTATGGCCAGAGAAGAAAGTCCCAGCCTATCCAGCCTATTTTTATAACTCAAACTCTCCATTCCCAGCAACATCCTGGTGAATCTTTTCTGAATCCACTCCAATTTAATAATATCCTTCCCATAGCGGAGAACCAGAACTGCACTTGGTAGTCCAGAAGAGGCCTCACCACCGTCCTGTCTGGATCTACCTTTCTCGGCCACCCTTCATTGCACTACAAAGTAGTGACTTTTACATAGGTTCTACAGAGAGATCTAACAAGACTGAGGAAAATGCAGGTCAACTATAGGTTCTTACTTTGGTTCAATGGCATCAGTCAGTCAGGTAACTGGACTAAGCATCTCATTTTTATTTATGCTTGTTTATATCCACTTATAAAATAACATCTCAGGAATGCAACAATATCATTGCCTTATTATACAAATTGCATATTCTTATGTTTTACAGCTATATCTCTTCTAAAGCTCTAAAAGCAGACTAAGTAAACATTCAGCAAAATGAAACTTAATACAAAATTGTAGGCTGCATATTTAAGATCATATTAACATACAGAAATATGTGCGAGTGGTCAGTCCAGCACATCTGTGTCTAAAGACATAAAATACTAATTGTGCACCTATTTGCCATATCAGTCTACATCTTTCTTAGCTTAAACAGGTCAACTCCTCTGCATCTTGTCCAATAACCCAGAGCAAAATCTCCTCCCCACATAGTCCACTGTCTTTTTGTGTACCTACCATTTCTGGAATTTTTTTCCTTCTTGAGGAAACAATCTTTACATGATTGTTTCTTCAATTGCAACATGTGGGCAATTGTGGAAAGCATACATTAAAAAGTGAAGAATTTCCAAAATGCTCCCATTGAATTAACTTAGCAGCTAAATTAAGGGAAATATCTTCATTCGTAATTTTATAGGGTCACGTTAGACAAATCAGGCTCACCAATAATGTGCTAGGTACAGCTAGCAGGCTTATGATGTGCTGCCAGTTGCACATCACACGCTGTTCGTTAAGAACTGATCTCTGCGTAGAAACAGAAGCTAAGTGTGCATATTCAGATCTTAATTTGTAATCAGTTACATTTAATACTGGAAGTTGAACAGGAAAACTGCTTCACTGATGTAATGCCTTTATGTTCAATCAGTTGCCTGATGTAAACATTCATTAAGTTGACTTCACACTGGCAAAACTGTATTCTCCAAACTTATAATTGACACTTTTGCTGCTTCATAACATTGCATTATACAAAGCTGTAATATAGATATTACAATTTGACATGTTTATTATTAATGAACTCTAATAGCAAATTTTGAACATTTGAACAGCTCTGCTTACTAATCAGAATTTTTTAAGAAAAGAAACAAGTTTCTCTAAAATGGATTAACATTTCTATTAGCATAGTTGGCAGACATTATTTTGAGAGCATAATTTGTCTGCTAGAATTGGCAAATGTAATGTAACTGGAGTTACTAATTTGACAAATACTAATTTCTTTTAACACCTGTTTATCTTTTGTGATTTCAAGATGTTGCTATTGTGTGTACAAATACAAAGAAAACAAATACATTTTACACGACCAAGACTCACTTCACCTGCTTTTTATTGAGCCCCCACCAAATAAACGCTTGATTATTACACTCAAATGCTGTGAATTAGCACATTTTCAAAAGTAATGCACAAAATGCTTTGTTATTCACATTATTATTCACAAGTCTTAAAGTTCACGTAAGAAATATTGCTTTAATTATTATTAAGAATGGATAATTGCAAATAAAATTAGCTGGAGTGATTTATTGATGGGGTGTTAACAATAGGGAAACTTTCACGTTTCTAGAAAAATTGATAAGTGCAATGTGTTTGTATCCCGTACATGTCATAAAGTCCAAGGGTCACTAAAATAGCTATAAAGTTTTGTGATCAGTATGCTACCACTTGAGGAAAATATGTACATCGAAAAAGACGTTACAATCAAAAAGTGGTCATTTGGAAGTAATTAAAGAACTCGAAAGCATTGTTGATAACCCTCAAACACCATACCTCGCACATTTGGAAGAAGATTAAATCGCCCGTTTCAGATAACAGACACTGCACGTTATCTCACGGAAGCGTGTGGCGCAAGGATTGGCAAACAGATGTAAAATCCTGAAATCCTTTCCCTCAATATTTCATGTTAGCACACACTGTCCTTCCCGTTACATGCTAAAGGTTACTTTATTCATACATTCTTAACTCCCAAATAACAATTTGCTGATTGATCAGTAGGAACTCTTTTTTTCCCCTTATTGGTGCATCCAAACCGTAATTTAATTAGAAGGAAATGTAGAGTTCGAGAAAGTTCAGTTGTCAGTCTTTCTTTAATCAGGTCGGATTTTCAAGTAACAAGTCTCTTCTTGAAGTTACAATAAAACTTTAGAATACCTTTCAACATGTCTTTATTTGTTACAGACTTGTGAGAAGTGAATCATTATGTAGCATATACAGGCTCCAGCGCACTACAGTGTTTGAGCTTGTACAATAATTTACCTTTATCTTAAAATACGATGTTATATTTGGACTTTGTCACATTGCCACTTACGTTTTTTTTAAGAACAAAAAAGGATAATAAGATTTGTAGCCTTTATGTTAATGAATGCGGATACCTAACGGTTGAGGAAAATTGCAAACCGGGTTGTTGCCCTGGCGGCTTCAGTGTCTGCATTCCACCTGAACCAACATTTCAGACAATTCTTAACTGGTACATGAGAGTGAGAGCGGGAGCGATCCCTACCTGCTCTCCCTGGGAAATGATATCTCGTTTCTGCCGTATTGTACGGTTGCTTTTCCTAGTGAAAGAGAACAAGGACAGGTTTGTTCTACACAGGTAAACTGCACCTTCACTGGTAATGTGCTGCGCATTGCTGCAAAGGAATGTGAATAAAAGCCGAGCTACTTCACAGTAAACAGTGAACAGCAGGCACTTACAGAAATCACTTGCAGAAATTGTCATTTATATCCGCACATAGAGAGAGAGAGAAAAAAATCTGCTTCACTCGTTTGGATAAATATAATCACACCTTTTCTATTTCATCGACTCCTCTCTTGTGTTTTTATTAATTGATTAATCAGTTCCCCCGCCCAAGACATGTACCAAACATTTCGCCTTATTCGATGCTAGCGATGGACTTACTGTTCCGAAGTTTCCGCAATGGCCATTTGCACGGTGTTGACACTCCAGACAATTGACACTGAGGGGATTTAAAAACAAATTCATTACTTTCTATAGGAATTTGTCTTTTAAAAAGAAAAGAATTGTGAATTGAAGTTTCTATGAGTTGCGAATGTTAAGGCCACATCTATACATTGAAAATATATCAATGATCAGCCAAACTTTGTGTTACTTTGATTCGGATCGACACTTGTTTCGGCGGAACTACGCCCGTTAATATCACCGTTATGTTACTTTCACCTACCTTGTGATGTTAATATTACCAAACAGTATAAAGTTGAGTAAAAGTTGCTCTTTATTCTGGACTGAGGTCTGAACTCCATGTGTGCCGCCTACAATGCAGGTTGGTTTCAATCTTCAGGTTTGTTTCCAGCAGGGAGATACTCTATTGCTCTCGATGTGTATCAATTGCTCATGTTTCCAAAGTTACCTTCCTCTGATATTCCTACCTGGTTCTTAAGACTCCGCATTCCGGTCAACTGGTTAAGAGGAGGCGCGTATGCAAATCAAAATCACAGATTATTTCGTAATGCCGAGAAAGAGCATTAAGTTATGACATTTTGTTATCAAGTTAATCCTTAAAAAGATTCATGCCCTCTCGTTCTGTAACTTGATTTTGAAGAATCAGATCCAATAACATTACAATGTTCATTTCCTATGTATAACAGTACAGCAGTGCAAATTGAATTCACTGCAAAACAAAATCCCGGTTTTATTTGTTGCACTTTCTGAATATATCTACATTTGTAACGTCAAATCGAAGTGAATGTGCATTCATTTTTCACAAAATATTATTTATTCATAAAAAATCATAAACGAACAAATTTGAATATGACCAGCTTGTAAAACAAATTGTAACCATGTATAACTGTAAGAGCTTTTATATTTAGCAAATACATTTCTACACCAAGTATTCAGCCAGAGGGCAAAATACTTCAAATGACAAAGTACAGAAAGCGTGATCAATGTAAAATTCTAGGTACAACTTGCTGGAGCAAGGCTTGTCTGGAGTTTCCCAGGGATCAGTGTTACGACCCTTTGGTGATATGTATGAATAATCTGGAAATTGGTACGCTGAGGAGAATTTCTACATTTGCAGGTGACACTAATATATGAAGAATTGTAAGCTTTGAGAAGGACAGTATGGAACTCCAAAAGGACATTGATAATTTGATGGAGTGGGCAGATAGTTGGCAAATGAGATTCAATGCAGAGAAGTGTGAGGCGTTGCACTTTGGTCAGAAGAACATTGAAAGACCATAGAAAATAGGGATACAATTCTGAAAGAGTACAAGAGAAGAAGGATCTTGCTGTATATGTGCAGAGAATTAACTTTCAATTGGCACTTAATGTGCAATCATAACAATTTCATTTCAATGGAAGTGGATGATGTGAATACGGTAGTCCTGGAGAAGCCATTTCCAAGAGTGAGGGTACATCATATAAGGCAAAACATGAACACATTTGATAAATAATTCTGAAGGCATTTTACAGAGAGGGCTGAGAATATTGAACTCCTTGCCATTTGGAAAGATTGAAGTATATGATGTGAATTCATTTAAAAGGAGAGTGATGCACATATAGAGGAGTCAAATGCAACACACCATTTTCACAAAACTAATGGCAGAGTAGAACAAATTAGCAAGCAACTGGTGATGATTTGCAATTCATACATATTCCTTTCTTGTATGTTATTGGCAGATTTGTGCATTAATTGTGGTCAGTGAGATTGACATGGGCAGGTATAAAGTAATTGCTTAAAAAAAGTGAAAAGAAAGTGGAAAGAATAAATGTAAAAATAAATTGAGTTGCCTGTACAACTATGTATGTATCATCCATTTCAAAATGGAGAAACTGGAACATATGATATGCAGCAAGATACCATTTGTAATAGATGAGGGACAGATGAAATGGGTTCAATAAAGAACAGGACTGGATGTCAAATCCTGCAATATATAACATCATCGCAAAGGATTAGGAAAGTAAAATGGGCTGAGGGGCTGTATCATCTGGAGGTAATAAATAAAGAAATGGTTATAATTAATTTTAAAATAAATATAGAATCCATACGAATTGAAGCCAAAGGGCACAAATGGATCAATCATATTAGCTGTGACGGAAGATAACTAAGACATACAGCAGGATAAAGACAACTTCTCTTTAGCCTTTTTCAATCTAATTCCATTAAATGCCACTTGCAGCAAGGCCACCCTATAGGTGTGGGAGGACAACCCCTTAACAGGGTGGCTTGCAGGGTCCACTCCTGCAATTGGACAGGCAGCATGGGCCTTTAGACCTGCCTGAAACACTGACCATCCTGGTGTGTCACAAAAATGCCACTTCCAACAACTTGGCCCCTGATGCCAATGAGAACGTGGAAACAGACTGGAAAATTCAGGTCACAAGTTGTCAAGCACCTCGGCCACTGAATCTTAGTGGGCTCAGAAAGGCCAAGCCCATGCTAAGCACCAAGCTGATGATGTGCCTCTGAAGTTACCAGCCACACAGCAACAAAGTTCAGTGCAGCCATAGCAATGTGAGAGAATGGTGAGATGCCTGGTGTCTCTACTATGTTCTTACACTTCTCAAGCCAGCAGCAAAGTACAGGGGCACCTTGCAAGGGAATAAGATCTTCAGTAGATTGACGGCCTGCCCAATGATTGCTCACCTCATCCTATGGCAGATGTTGCATCTCTCCTCTGTATCTGTGTATCAAAAGCATGAGCCAGTCATTGGTTTGTCAGTATAATAATAACCAGTTTTCTGTCCTGAATATGTGGAGTGGACTAGAAAAGCTGCAGGAACTTGGACTGTTGCAGCATGTAAGCATCGTAGGTGCTTCTCAACTGGTGCAACAATTTGAGAGCCCACTTTTACTGGATAAATTGAACACTGAGTGAGTTGAAACCCCTTTTGTTGATGAAGGCCACTGGTTGGTCCATGAGAAGCTTGCTGGCTATATCCATACAGCCAATGACATCCTGCATCTGGAAAATTAGCAATGGCCCTGAACTGTCTGTACATATTTTTATGCCTGTCTGGCTTACATGTGACTCCAGACACACAAAATTCTTAACAACCCTCTTAAATGATCTAGCAAGTCAATCAGTTGTATTCAAGATGCTGTTCACCACCAAGTTCCTGTAGGAACTTAAGGATAATGTGACGTCTTCAAACTTTGTATTAGTCAGATACTAATTAAAAGGGAAATTGAGCCCTCAGGTTTCCAGTGAAAGTAAGACTGAAACTTCAGGTTTCTGGGGCAAGTGAAATTGATTTAAACTGGAAAACAGGGTCAAAACCATATGAGTTCAGATCTCCCAATTAGGCAGTGGAAAAGAGCAAAAATGAAGGCTGGATATAGAAGCAGCGGTAATGGAAAATAAGTTCACTACTGGAACACAGGAGCAGCGGTAGGTTGATCATTTACTTCAATGCTGTTTTTCCACACTATTTCCCACACCTCTTTATTGTTTGTAGTACTTAAAAATCTGTCAATCTATATCTTGCACATTCTTAATGACCAAGATTTCACAGATGACCGAGCAACAGAATTCCAAAGATTCATGACTCTAAGTAAAATCTTTCTCTACATCTCAATCCTAAGTGGTTTGCCTCTTAATTTGATATTGTGTCTCCTGGTTCTAGATTCCAAAAAACAGGAGAAGCATTTTATCTGCATTTATCCTGTCTAACCATTAAGTATTTTGCGGGTTTCATTCAGATCACCTCTCATTTTTCAAAACTCCAGAGAACACAGGCCAGTTTCCAAAATGCCTCTTCATGTGACTATCCTGCCATCCTGGGGACAAGACTAGTACTTCACACTTCACGTCAGCTCTGATGAAGAGTCACCTAGACTAAAAATGTGAGCTTGCTCTCTCTCCATGGATGCTGCCTGACCCGCTGTGATTGCCAGAATTTTTTGTTTTCAGTCTAGTCCTCACTGTACTTGCTCTCAGGCAATAATAGTCTTCCTATAATGTAAGGGGACCAAAACTACACACAGTAATTCCAGGTGTGATTTAATCGAAGTCTTACACAATTGAAGCAAGATGTTGCTACTGCTGTACTCAAATCCTCTTACAATAAAGGCCAAAATACCACTACCCTCCTGAAAGGCTATAAGGTCCACCGGTGCTTTAGTTATTTTAAAGAAACTAATTAATTAGCACTGGCCATAAAGTACACAAATTTGTTAAGAAGGATAAGAATTTTCTGGTTGTTCTCCACCATTAAGACTGTTGTGAACTGAGCTGAGAAAGCTCTGGCAAAGTAAGCCATTGTGGTGAAGACTGTGTTTGTGGGATTTGGGTTCTTTGGGAGCTGTTGTTGGATGAGGACCAGTAACTAAATATTCAAAGAAAAGGAGCTAGAATTCTATTTGAGAAAATTCATAGTCTTGAAGAATGTTGTGGCTGAAATTATATGCTCGGTAGATTGCAACATAATTCCATGAGATCTCTCTTTCTTGTATCTGCTATTTAATGTGTAATTTATAGTCTATATTGACCAAAGCTTGCCTGTTGATTCATGTTGATTTTGGTTCAATTGTTAGAGTAAAAGTTATATGAAGTGCAATTTTGTGTGTTGATTTTCTTGCTCGGATAAATTTGGTTCTCTTGGTTTGTTGTTCTCCAGAGACATCATAAGAATAGATAGTAAATGTTAGTTTTCCCAGTAAAACCAACATCCTATACAAGAATATAAAAGAAACTGAAGTAGGAAAAGGCTTATTGGGAGAGTGGTGATCATGGGGCTTGGGGGAAAGGGGAGGCAGGTTATTTCTGTTATCGACTGACATCTGTAATGCAGAGTCCACAGACTTAGCTATACAGTCATTTCCCACATTACATTTTCTCCAATGCTGCAGAGATTTCTTTCTTCATTTCCCATTCTTTTTACATCTGTCATATTAGGACACAACTGACAGGAGTGTTAATTTCATTAATACAAGGCTGTCTTGTATTTCTAGCTGATTAATATCAATCACATTTATTATAACATGACTCT